ACACACACACACACACGGGCGGGTGCAAGGAGGTGGCCTTCGGCCACCCCCCCGCACCCACACCGTCACAGAGGTCTGCCCCGACAGTACTATCATAGCAACAGTATAATCATAGAAGTCGTGTGCCCCTGTGCAGGGGGGGGGGCGTGAAAGTTACTTCTCGTGGAAAGTTTAACGTTTCTGAACAGGGAAAAGTGTAGAATAGTACTCAATATCATACATGTATTATATATTATACCTTAATTTTAAAATTGCACCAGTGCAATCATAGAAGTCGTACACCCCTTGGAGAGGGGGGGGGAGGAATTGGAGTTCGTGTAGTGTAGGAAGTCAAAATGTATGTGTAGAATAATGTTTAAGATGGTATATAGCAGAAATAAGACGTTATTTTTAAAACTTTGATTGTTAATAACTTTTTAACGAAGGACGAGCGACGGCTAATACCTGCCGGAGGTTACTCAGGGTCATGACCTTGACAACATACGTCAAGGTCAAAGTCATTAGAGGGGGGTCCCCTAATCGAAACATTTACCAAAAACACAAACCTTCTACATTAAAAATAAGAACTATGTATTGAAAATATTGAATATATCGTTTAAAAACAATAAATCACTGCTGTGACAAATTTTCTAATCTGAACAGTTGTCGAATTTAATGGTAAAGTTATAGAAAAGGGGATCCACCATCAATGATCTTGACCTTGGCATATGTTGTCAAGATCATAACCCTGAGTACTCCCACAGATTTTAGGTGGCGGTTCCTGTCCGTTAAAAAGTTATTAACAAAAAAATTTCAAAATTACCGTATCATTTCTGCTATACATGTGTGATATTTATTACTATTGTAATTGCTGTACATGTATAATATTATTTCTGCTGTACATGTATGATATTAATTACTATTCAAGACTTTTCCCTGTTCAGAAACATTAAAATTTTCACGCGAAATAACTCTCACCTCCCCAATCTCCCTGTAAAGGGGCACACGGCTTCTATCATTATACTGTTGCTGATTATACTGTTGAGAGAGACCTCTACCGACGGGGTGGGTGCGAGAGGGGGGGGGGAGCGAAGACCCCCCTTGCACTCCCCTGTGTTCGTGTATGTGTGTAAAACATCAACTAATAAACTCATAATCGGTATATACCAATGGAACACACACACACACACATGCACACACACACACACACACACACGCGCGCGCACGCACGCACGCACACACACGTACGCACGCACGCACGCACACACACGTACGCACGCACGCACGAACACACACACACAGGCACGCACGCACGCACGCACGCCACCCCCCCCACACACACACGCGCGCGCACGCACGCACGTACGCACGCACGCGCGCGCGCGCGCACACACACACACACACACACACGGGTGGAGTTCAAGGGGGTGGCCTTTGACCCTCCCCCTCCCGCATACATCCCGTCGGCAGAGGTCTCCCCCAACAGTACAATCATAGCAACAGTACAATCATGGAAATCGTGTGCCCCTTTGCAGGTGGTTGGGG